GGGAGAAGGTGGTGGCATGGTGGGGAGAAGCGGGATGGTGGCAACGGTGGGAGTGGGATGGTAACGGTGGGGAAGTGGGGGCCAGTAACGGTGGGGGTGGGATGGTAACAACAGTGGGGGCGGGATGGTTACAAATTGCGGGGAAGGGTGGGAAGGTGGCAACAGAGGAGAACGGTGGGCCGGTAACAACGGTGGGAGGTGGGGCGGTAACAACAGGGGGGGTGGGATGGTGGCAACAAGGGTAGGAGGTGGGATGCGTGGCAACGGTTGGAGAGTGGGATGGGTGGCACGGCGGTGGGGACAGTGGGGATGCGGTAACTGAACAGTGGAAGAGTGGGATGGTAAGGAACAGAGGGTGTGGGATGGTAACACAACAGTGGGGGAGTGGGATTATGGCAGCAGTGGGAGGTGGGATTGTAACAACAGTGGGAGTTGGAATGGTAACAACAGTGGGAGAAGTGGGGCGGTAACAACGAGGTGGGAGGGTATGATGGTGGCAACAAAGGGAGGTGGGATGGCGACGGTGGAAGTGGGGCGATGGCTGGCAGTGGGGAGGGTGCGATGCGTGGCAACAGAGGGAGGATGGGATGGTGGCAACGGGAGGGGATAATAACGGTGGGGAGTGGGATGGTCAAATGCCTTTAGAAATCTATGCGCAGACAATGCTGCTTGTAACTAGAGACTGCAATACAAACATGGTATCCGTAGTGCGGTGACCTTTCGCAGCCACCCTGATGGTAACGAGGTGTGAGGAGTGGGAAGGTAACAACGGTGTGGGGAGGTGGGGTTGTAACAACGGTGGGAATAAAGTGGCTGGCGAATTAAAGGATGGTGGGATGGTAACGGTGGGGGTGGGATGGTAACAACGGTGGGGAGGTGGGATGGTAACAACAGAGGGAGGTGGGATGGTAACGCAACAGAGGGAGGTGGGATGTAGTAAAAAGTGAGGGAAGTGGGATGGTGAGGAACGGTGGGGATGGGTCAAATGGCAACGGTGGAAGAATTGGAAAGGTAGCTGGCAGTGGGATGGTAGCAACGGTGGGGGCGGGCAGTAACAACGGTGGGAGAGTGGGATGGAGTAAGGACGAGGAGAAGTGGGATGGTAACTGGTGGGATGGGTAGAACGGTTGGATGGTGTGGGATGGTGGGAACGGTGGGGGAGGTGGGATGCGTGGCGCAACGGTGGGGAGAGTGGGATGGTGGCTGCAACGGTGGGGTGGAATGAAATTTTAACAGTGAAGGTTGGAAGTGCTGGCATTGGGGAGGTGGGATAAGTGGCTGGTGGGAGGTGGGATGGTATTTCTTTGAGGTGGGGTGGCGGGATGGTAACAACGGTGGGTGAGGTGGGATGAAAACGGCAACGGTGGGGGCGGGTCGTGGCTGGTGTGATGGCAGGATGGTATGGCAGGTGGGAGGTTGGATGAAATGCAACGGTGGGAGAAGTGGGATGGAAAACGGTGGGGATTGGCGGGATGGTGGCAACGGTGGGTGAGGTGGGATGGAAGTAACAACGGTGGGGGCGGGAATCGGCGGCGAACGGTGTCGCGAGGGTCGTAACAACGGTGGGAGGTTGGATGGTGGCGCTGGCAGTGGGGAGTTGGATGGTATTGGTAACGGTGGGAGGATTGGGATGGTAACAACAGAGTGGGATGGGTAAGAACGGTGGGGAGAGTGGGACGGTAACGGCGGTGGGAGGTGGGATCGTGGCAACAGGGAGGGAGGGTGGGATGGTAACGACGAGGTGGGGGCGATGGGATGGTAGAACAGAGGGTGGGTGGGATGGTCACAACGGTGGAATGGTAGTAACGGTGGGATAAGGTGGGATGGTAACAACGGTGGCGGGTGGGATGGTGGCTGAACGGTGGAAGTGGGTTGAGGAAGGCTACGGTGGGGAGAGTGGGATGGTAACAACAGTGGGAGAGTGGGATGGTAAAAAAGTGGGAAAGTGGGATGGTAACAACCCAGTGGGGAGTGGGATGGTAACAACAGTGGAAGAGTGGGAAGGTAAGAACAGAGGGGAGAGGGGATGGTTACAACAGTGGGATGGTGGCAACAACAGTGGGGGCAGTGGGATGGTGGGCAACAGTAGGGAGAAGTGGGATGGTGGCAACAGTTGGAGGGTTTGGATGGTAACAACGGTGGGGAGAGTTGGATAGCTGTGGTGGGGAACAACAGAGGGAGAGTGGGATGGGTAACTGGAGAGTTGGAGAAGTTGGATGGTAGTGGCAAGGAGGTGGGAGAGTGGGATGGGAAAAGGCGCAACAGTGGGGAGGTGGGATGGTAACAACAGTGGGAGGTGGGATGGTAACAACAGAGAAAAGAGTGGGAAGGTAACAACGGTGGGGTGGCGGGATGAAGTGGCAACGGTGGGAGAGTGGGATGGTAACAACAGTGGGGTGGCGGGGATGGTAACAACGGTGGGAGAGTGGAATTAGGTAACAACAGTGGGGGAAGGCGGGATGGTAACAACAGTGGGAGGGTTGGATGGTAACAACAGTGGGAGGTGGGATGGTAACAACAAGGTGGGGAGAGTGGGATGGTAACAACAGTTAAGGGAGGGTCAAATGGGATGCAGTAATGAACAAGGTGGGGAGAGTGGGATGGTAACAAACATATGGGAGTGAATGGGTTAAGTAACAACGGTGGTGGAGTGGGATGGTAACAACGGTGAGGGTGGGGGCCGGGACCAACAGTGGGGCAGTGGGATGGAAGTGGCGCAACGGTAGGAGGTGGGATGGTAACAACAGTGGAGAGTGGGATGGTAGCAACAGGTGGGAGGAGGTGGGATGGTCACAGCAGTGGGAGAGTGGGATGGTTTACAACGGAGAGAAAGGGTGGGGGATGCGTGGCAACGGTGGGAGAGTGGGATGGTAACAACAGAGGGGAGGAAGTGGGATGGCAATGGGGAGGTGGGATTGTGACAACTAGAGGGAGAGTGGGATGGTAACAACAGTGGGAGAGCGGGATGGTAACAACAGTAGGAGGGAGGGGGATGGTAACAACAGGTGGTAGGAGTGGGATGGTAACAACAGTGGGAGAGTGGGATGGTAACAACAGTGGGGGGACCGGGATGGTAACAACAGTGGGAGAGTGGGATGGTAACAACAGTGGGAGAGTGGGATGGTAACAACAGTGGGAGAGTGGGATGGTAACAACAGTGGGAGAGTGGGATGGTAACAACAATGGGAGAGTGGGATGGTTACAACAGTGGGGAGAGTGGGATGGTGGCAACAGTGGGGAGAGCGGGATGGTAACAACGTGTGGGAGAGTGGGATGGTAACAGTGGTGGGAGGGGAAGGGATGGTAACAACAGTTGGGAGAGTGGGATGGTAACAACAGTGGGAGAGTGGGATGGTAACAACAGTGGGAGAGTGGGATGGTGGCTGCAACAGTGGGAAGTGGGATGGTAACAACAGAGAAAGAGTGGGAAGGTAACAACAGTGGGAGAGCGGGATGGTAACAACAGTGGGAGAGTGGGATGGTAACAACAGTGGGGTAGCGGGATGGTAACAACAGTGGGAGAGTGGAATGGTAACAACAGTGGGGGAGCGGGATGGTAACAACAGTGGGAGAGTTGGATGGTAACAACAGTGGGAGAGTGGGATGGTAACAACAGTGGGAGAGTGGGATGGTAACAACAGAGGGAGAGTGGGATGGTAAGAACAGTGGGAGAGTGGGATGGTAACAACAGTGGGAGAATGGGATGGTAACAACAGTGGTGGAGTGGGATGGTAACAACAGTGAGAGAGTGGGACGGGACCAACAGTGGGGCAGTGGGATGGTAACAACAGTAGGAGAGTGGGATGGTAACAACAGTGGGGAAAGTGGGATGGTAACAACAGTGGGAGAGTGGGATGGTCACAACAGTGGGAGAGTGGGATGGTTACAACAGAGGAAGAGTGGGATGGTAACAACAGTGGGAGAGTGGGATGGTAACAACAGAGGGAGAATCGGATGTGAACAACAATGGGAGAGTGGGATTGTGACAACAGAGGGAGAGTGGGATGGTAACAACAGTGGGAGACGGGATGGTAACAACAGTAGGAGAGTGGGATGGTAACAACAGTGGTAGGAGTGGGATGGTAACAACAGTGGGAGAGTGGGATGGTAACAACAGTGGGGGACGGGATGGTAACAACAGTGGGAGAGTGGGATGGTAAGAACAGTGGGAGAGTGGGATGGTAAGAACAGTGGGGGCGGGATGGTAACAACAGTGGGAGAGTGGGATGGTAACAACAGTGGGAGAGAGGGATGGTTACAACAGTGGGAGAGTGGGATGGTAACAACAGTGGGAGAGATGGTAACAACAGTGGGAGAGTGGGATGGTAACAACAGTGGGAGAGTGGGATGGTAACAACAGTGGGAGATGGGATGGTAACAACAGTGGGAGAGTGGGATGGTAACAACAGTGGTAGAGTGGGATGGTAACAACAGTGGGAGATTGGGATGGTAACAACAGTGGGGGGACCGGGATGGTAACAACAGTGGGAGAGTGGGATGGTAACAACAGTGGGAGAGTGGGATGGTAACAACAGTGGGGTAACAACAGGAGGAGGATGGTAACAACAGTGGGAGAGTGGGATGGTAACAACAGTGGGAGAGTGGGATGGTAACAACAGTGGGAGAGTGGGATGGTAACAACAGTGGGAGAGTGGGATGGTAACAACAGTGGGAGAGTGGGATGGTAACAACAGTGGGAGAGTAGGATGGTAACAACAGTTGGAGATAGGAATGGTAACAACAGTGGGAGAGTGCACTCCAGTTGTGAGATGACATGAGTTTTGAAATGCCCCGTGTTTCACAAGGGTGACATCCCCCTTGTCACAGGAGCTATACCTGCCTGTGGTCATGACTGACTTATTTAAAGCTTTCTGAATATCAAGAGTAAGCAAAATGACATTCAAATTGCATCATGATCAACTTATTGCTAAATTAGGTAGCATGACATGCTATATTTGGATGTTTGACCCAAAACATTTGTTCAGTGGAGATTTGCTCACTGATTACTGTCAGCTGTTTTGAAGTTGGCATGACACGGAGATGGGATCGTGCAGCCTGTCCCTGCTGATCCCGGATGTCGGGCAAGTTTAGGTTCAGTTGTGTATTTGACATCTTGTTGTGCACAACGTCCTTGTAGCTGAAGTATGGCCCCTCTCGTGGTGGAGGCACAGGAGTGTGAGCTGCGGTCATGGAGGGGGAGGCCTGGCACTGACCATTGTTTGGCCGCAGTCCTGGAAGTGGAAATACATAATGTTCATGGAGAATGTAAAACATGCATCATTAGAAACTTACCCCTGAGACGAAATAGGTCTCCAATATGTAATGCTTGTCACCAGAGGATTGAATGAGTGAGTTTAGTTTTACGCCACTTTAAGCAATATTCCAGCAATAGTGAGTGAGTGAGTGAGTTTAGTTTTACGCTGGACTCAGCAATATTCCAGCTATATGGTGGTGGTCTGTAAATAATCGAGTAAGGACCGGACAATCCAGTGATCAACAGCATGAGCATCGATCTGCGCTATTGGGAACCGATGACATGTGTCAACCAAGTCAGCCAGCCTGACACCCGTTAGTCTCTCTTACGACAAGCATGGGTTACTGAAGGTTCATTCTAACCTTGACCTAATCATTCATTTTAATGTTTCAGTAATTTGGCACAGTGTGTTTGGTAGTTCAAATCTAACTCATATGTGGGGGTTATTCTTCTGGCCAAGATTTAGTGAGTGTTGGTATCACTGAACTGTCACCTCTCACCAGTAACCACATACTTCTGTTGGCATGTGACTGGTTCAGTTATACAACAGCTATCTCGCTGCTGGCTGTGGGCCAAGGGTTGATCAACTGATTCGTTGTGGGCTGGATATACTATTCAGTTACACTATCTGATTAACTCTGTCAGGTTGATACTCTTTTAGTTACAGGATCTTGCATACTCAAATCTTTCAGGCTTAAAACAGTGGGTGACACTGGGTTTTTTCATTCAAATGTTTCCTTGCATATATGCCAGCGTGAGAAATACAGTACCTTCGGCAGGGATTTATCTGGGATTCAAAACTAAGAGACATAGGCAATTAAAAAAATATATATATTTTTCCAAACTGGCATATATTTTTTTAAATGTTTCGTTTTTCTTTAAACTCAGAAGCATTTCATCACTGTGTTTTAAACTTGTGCATTCAATGCAATTACCCCGTATGCAAATTAAGCAGTTGGACCTTTTCTTCTTTACAGGTCCTGTTGTCAGTGAAATACTGGTTACTTCTACAACAAGTGGGAAAATCGTAATTCCAATTTGGGAATTTTAATGACATTTACTTCACACATGGGGCCAAATACCCATCTCAGGTCCAGACAGATCCCTGTTCGGTCACAATCCACTTAGTTATGAATCACCAGGTTCAAACAAAACAGCAATGTCTGAATAACCTTTTATGAAATGCTTAATAAGTTAATAGCATTTCAAACTTGCAAAAATTTGCTCTTAACATTAACAACATTGTGTTCATTTCTTGCCTGTTTTTGGCCTTGTGCGGTGAGGGAACTGTGGCCTCACTGGTTTCCCCGAAGGAGGGGTTGGGGCCACAAAGACTCTGTCCCTTATAGGCGGCAGTACAGCATGACGTGTTGGGTCACTCCCAATATCTGTGTCCCCATCTTGAGGAGGACTTGTGCTAGGCACTTTGCTTAGCTTCCTTGGTGGAAGCTTTGCTCTTCTCATATTGACTGAAAGGAAACTGGAAACTTTCAAAATCTTAATAGACAGAATCTCATTTGGGTAACCAGTCCTTATGATGATACATAAATGTGAATGTTGCATTGTGCTTGGTTGGCACCATGGGACAACTCACAGCCAACAACACTAAAGTACTAGCAGACCTGCTCATTACCAGCAACCCTACCTATTGTGACACACTGGCACCACACAATACCTCTATGTTTAATTGGTATTATAAAATGTACTTGTATTGTAATATGTACTGTATCATGACTTTCATGTGTCATTAAATTATTGGTAAGTAGGCCTTTGGTATAGTTAGACATGGAGTATAAATGTAGCCACATTCTCTCCAGTCCTAAAGCAGACAACAGACAGCAGATCATAAAGTTCAAATAGAGATGGCCAAGAACATGCAAGACTTACACACTTTCTTTCAGTACTTCAGGAATAAATGTACTTCTATAGTTAGTCTTATCTTCACTAAAGACTATTGTTTGTGAAATGGCCTGTGTTCTATTCAACCTATATGGCATCCTATACAGAGAATTTCCCTGACCATCGGGGCAGGAAGCATTTAAACATTTGCTTCTATTTTAGGGTTGATTTTCTCTAAACAACTACAACTAGGGGCATCTTTAGCCCGCCCTGCACTACCATGGTTTATTATGGAGGGTCACTAAGACAACACAAAAAACAAAACCCATGAAACAACAAAATATTGGACCAATATGATTGGGGTCATTCTGGATTACTAATTATCAATAGGCCTATTAATGATGGTGATCATATGATGATAGTGATGAAGATAATGTTTCTGCCTCATTGAAGGCGCCTATCTTTACAAACCTTATGACAAGAACCACTATCTTCCAGTATGTATAGGCTCTCTGTACTCGTGGATGAAAATTGAAATTAAAAAATCGTGTAGTCTCAGATATGCCAGGACTTCTTCTCTCTACCCTCTGTATAAAGCAGGCGACGTTCCGTAATGGCGTGGAGTGTCTATGACGTCATCCCCAATTGTGACGACACAAGCTCACAACAGCGATAGCGAGTTTGGCGCTGGGGTGGATTCTTCAGCTGTCGGTTTTTCTGTGGTAAAAGAAATATGCAATGAATATGGTTAATATTCTGTCACGTCGCTGAATAAACCCGTGTTTTCTAGTGCAGATTCCTAAACCACACAGGGCAGTAAGCTGACAGCCAGCATTTACATACGCATCAGTCCTGAAACAGGTTATAAATGTGTGAGGTGTTGTAAATATGGGTGACAATCAAATACAGGATAAGGATTGGGTGAGTCATGTTTTCTTTCATAACATTGGCGGATGCGACTTAACGGCGGAGTCATTTATTCTTCAGACCAGACCTGATAAAAAGCTGTTTGTAAAAATTGTATCTCAACAATGTCACCCCCAACAAACCATATCCCTTCCACAACTGCCGCGTTCCTGTATGAACATACCTCATGTTGGCGGTGGTTGGTTGAGAATACCTATACATCTGTAGTCTGTTTGTAGTGAAAGCGTACCGATGAATTTTACTTTAAACAAAAACGTAAATCAAGTAAAGTGAAATTAAGATTGCAAATCCTCATAACTTTACCTTGCCAACTGAACATTAAAATCTCAGAATTTTATTCAACTTAGGATAAAATTTGTTTAACAAACGATCATAGTTTCAAATCGCTATTATTGGTTTTTATTACAAGGGGGTAAGCACATTAAATGAAACCCCGAGGACAAGACGGTTGGTTTCTACGGTAGTCTAAGTTAATGCTCATCACGTACCGCACATGCATTTGTTTCACTGTTCCAACTACTGCTCTTACCCCTCCAGAAAGACGCCACTGAATATCAACACAAGAAAACCCTGAAACACCTCCACCAAAGCAGAGAGATATATGACACCACTTTCAACCATCTGAACCCCATCAATTCGCAAGCCCATATGCTAAAGCTATGATGAAGATTCACAGGAAACCACCCAAAGCCAGAATACTCTGTTTTCTACAACACCATCCACTTCCTGTACCGCCTCTTAAAATATTATACTTTTGATAAAACTATTGCACTCTAAAGATACTAATGTTATTAAATCAGTCGCTCTGTTTTAAAACATCTGTTTAAACAATATATATGAAATTATCACGTGGCATTGTAAAATATTGTATCTTTCAATTGTATTATAGGACGTTAGGACCACATTACTGAATAAACATGTCTGTCTGTCTGTCTTAGCTCCCGTAGGAGATGGCAAATCCTACATCAGCGATTCTTCCACGTTTGTTAACCTTTTGAAAGACGCCAACCTCACAGGCACCAGTCGTCGGCTGTGACATCATCGACCTCATCACCAGAATCCCTCTACATGGAGCCACCGATATACCACCATAGACACATCCACCACCATATATAGCCCCCCAAGAACACCCCCACATGAAACCCCCACAGAACACATCAGTGCCAAGCACCTGACAATCCAGTTGACCATGGAGACAGAAACAAACTGTCCAAGAGCGTCCGTTAGGGTTGCTCTCGGATGGTAGTTCAGAATGGTGGACAAGAGACGGAAGACAAAAGTCAGCGGTAGAGTTGAAGACAGCAGCAGCCATGTTTATTATATGGTTGGATAATAATGGTCGAATGGTACATAAAATGGTAATCACGTGACAGAACGCACATCGGGACCGAGTGGCCAATGTTCCCGATGTGGAGACCCGCTCTGGCACTTACACACATTCAGAAGTCGGACGGCGATTCTTCATCGTCGACGTTGGTGAGGCGTCGGCCATCTCTTCCTAGACCTGTTCCTCAAAACTACAGAAAATGGAATAAGAACATCTGTTTACCTCAAACCTTCACACACACACCAGTGCATCCGTTACTCCTGTCACCAACCCCAGATAAAACAAGTCAATACGCTACATTCACCCGACGTGCCAAATCCTGATGCCCTTCTGTGACACGAGGTCGACCGGATCTGGGAAGGTCATGTGTTGACCCCTGCGTCTGATAACGGTTCCATAGTCTTGTACTTGTGCCGAGTCGCCTATCTGCAGTGGTCCGATGGCGTTGTTGCGCTGAACCTATGTCGGTCATGGCATGTTTTCACTTGCAGAATTGTGATGACAGAAAAATGGAAACCTATCGTTTTCATAGCCCAACATGTTGTACGTTCAATTCACGTTGGTGTATTTGGACGCCACGCTTCCACCTGGTTGCTTTTTGGCATTTCTGCCACGTTTCTGGTATGTTTTAGCCGTAGTTTATTCTACCCGCACAGCTCACCCCCGATGCATGCTGACATGAGAAATTCTGCCAGATATTTCCAACGTTTCTACGTTTACGTTTCATTTTTGGAAGAGTATATATGCATACGACCTGCGCGACCATATGGTACCTACATTGTTCCCACTTCTGTTGCAGGAATATACACTATATATCTATAATATTGGTATGATATATAACATAATAGTGGTAGAGCCACCGTGCCCACGTCATGTGTGCAGATCAACCCGGCCACATTGTATTAGTGACCCACCGCCCTCTCCTGTGTGCAGGTGACCGCGGCTGTTCCGACATCGACAGACACGGTCCCCTCCTCATGTATACAGATCGACTCGGGTAATAAAGGCTCGAGTCGTCTTTAGCGGTGCGTGGAATTTTAAAAAGTATGCCATACAATTATATGTTAAATGTAAACATCAAACACATTTACAAGCGGCCATCTATATTACTTAACAAACACAGAAACGTGACTACGAGACGATTTTTCTCGTATTGGGATATGGCGACGTGGTGTGGTGTGTCGAGAACGCGCATCCTTGCTCCAAATGCATGCTTTCTTCCTTAGATCTATATGTCATTGGAAAACAAAGGGACAATTGCTTGGCACGAGCACTATGCCACCTACACGTGATACTTTTTTAATATTACCTTTATATTTCGGGTATGCCCGTATGCCCATCCGAGATCTAACTAGTGTTAACACTGCTTGTAATGAAGAGTTATGAGTGAATGAGTATGGTTTTACGCCGCTTTTAGCAATATTCCAGCAATGTCACGTCGGGGGACACCAGAAATGGGCTTCACACAGTGTGACCATGTGGGGATTCGAACCCGGGTCATGGGCGTGACGAGCGGACGCTTTAACCACCAGGCTACCCCACCGCCCCAATGAAGGGTTATGCTCTCCGACGACTACATATAGCAGCAGAGTGTTTTAAAACCGAAGCGCATCTGTGTTCTGTGTCGCAATGAATTCCGCACGCATCATTCCTTTCTACACTTCGAGAACAAATAGTTATACCGTTCTAACGGCTGAAAGCTGTTGGCGCAGTTTGTACTGACTGATGCATTATTCTAATTTATGAATTTATCGTGATTTAAGCTACTTAACATAGTCTGGTTTGCACTTGATTTTCACAAAATGTGGAGTCGGGTAGCGAAGATGAGGATCTGGTTGTGTAACAGCTGACATGTGTATACAAGCCTGTCTGGGTGGGTGGAATGGCGTGCTACGATGACTGCAGTGGTTCCAATCTCTGGCAGTAAGGGACAAGGGATATTACAGATATATATTAAGAGATTCAATATACAATCTGTTGCATCAGAGATTGTTGATGTGGCGATGTTGAACTTTCATCACTTTTGCTGTCATTCGGAGCCAGTTTACTTTTGCACTGAGTACTTTGAAGATGGCAGCAGCAAGACGGTAGATACACTTATGAACAGAAACAATATTTAAAAGATATTTGTTTTATTCAGATTGACATAATCACATATTTTACAGTTACACATATGATCATACATTTCACAACCAGGAAATAGAAGCTTGCACCACATGTATGGCTTTCCCCGAGAGATACGGAATGAAGGACAATACAGCAACACCGACGTGGGAGCAGGGCATGCGTGGTAATGCATTGTCGACACAATGACCCCAGTTCGGCGTGTCTGTATTGTATGACTTGTAGGGGTCAGGACAAACGGACATTGACTAATTTGTTTGGATGGAATGATTGTGACAGCAAAACGACTTCAGCCAGCAGGAACGACTGATAACACCAGAGGGCGCTGACTTCATACTAGCTAGTGAGTGGTGAGTGAATGTTGGTTATTGCCGCGAACAGCAGTATCCCAGCTATACAGTGGACTCCCTCTAAACCGACATCCCTCTAATCTGACAATCCCTGCAAACCGACATATTTGGTCCCGAATTTGTCCCTATATTACATCATATAAGAAACTCCGAATTACGACGCTCAAATCCGGTTCCAAAACGTGTGTTTAGTGTGTGTCGTTTAATTTTGGATTGAGTTTCTAAAGACATCCCTCTAAGTCGACATTTTTCATCGGTGCCGAGCGATGTCGGTTTAGCGGGAGTCCACTGTATAAGAAGCGGCCAGTAAATACTCGAGTCTGATCCAGACAAATCCCTGACATAATCAGTGGGGCCAACCACGATGACACGCATTGAGACAAGTCTTGGGTTATGTGACGACCTGCACTAAACCGGATTTCCACAACATACAATACAATCTGCAACGAAATTCCCTTAGGGGAATATGGCGGACCCCTGTCAGTAGAGTCAGGACGTGACAAGGGGAATGTTTTTATCCTGCGGTAAGAGATTCATGGTTCAACTAGTCAGTCGAACCGAAATGAAAACAAAATAAACATAAAACATGTAGAACAGTGCATTTTTGAGGAAATCAATGTTTTTTTAGTCAATTATTTTATACTTGAGAATCCTTCCTCAAACATAAAAAGGTCGCTTGTGCATAATCAACGCAACCGTCTGCGAGCATTTCGCTGTATAAGACAGGTCATAGAATGTCCCAACTCGAGTCAGTGGTCACGAATGTGCTACTATATGTTTCCAGTACACGAAGCAAAGCGAACCCCATAATCTACAGCTACTTAAAAAGGTGAAGCTATTGCGCAAGAAGCGCCTATAGAGCAGTCTGCACGTGATATAATAATAGCCCTCGATTTGTGTAGCGTTAAGGCGTGAACAGGAGGCCAGAGAGATGAAAGTATGATAAGTACTAGCCCGTTTTAAATACACATGCACTACTATATTGGTCACCTAGTGTAGACACCGCACCCGCTTACATGGACACCCAACATGAAATATAGCATCAAGTATACATCGCCTGCCATTCGTTTAAAATGCAGATACACATTAAGTTCATACTGAAATCAGTCTTCATTTACAAATCACTTGCTAGTCTCACCATCACAATACTCATCATGGTATTGTCGAGTCTCACGTGCGGTCTTCAGCACTCCCAGACATTGTCCAGGGATGGCTCCATGAGGGAACACAGCTAGTTTATGCAATCACGTGTACAACCTATGACTCTCATAGTAGCACGTCATTAGTTTATGAGCCAGAGGATTTCGTTGGTGGTGTAAATATCACATAAATATGAATGGTGTCCTTATTGAACTGCATGAGATGGGACATATTTCCGACCAGTTTCACAAGCATCCACACGTTGAGTTCGTCTCTGCAAGATCTGTGCATTTAAAGGTCAAGCCTGGGAGAGCGCTATTCCCGCTGACTGGAATATATATCGACTCACGTCAATGATGATCCCACTCGTGTATTTGACCATGTCTAGGTCGAGTTCCGGGAATGTGTCAGTCCAGTGGACAGTGAGAGTGTCATTTTCCCAACTGAACGGGGCGCCCGGCTTATTCTGCATCAACCCCGACTTGTAGTCTGCCTGCCACGTCGGATGACAGTTATGGTTCAAACACTTCACTTGCAAACGTCTATTTAACCAAACCAGAGTAGGGTCTTTTTCCACAACCTTATATGCCAAGTAATGATCGTTATACCAATAATTATTACTCTTGTACTTTTGTAAAATTGTTCTCAGTTTTTGTAAATATTTGGAATTTCTTTTGGCAATGAGAACCCCATGGTTAATGGAGTCTGGCCAGTGGCCGTAAAGATGCCAGTCAGGGGATGCAATTGCATCGTAACCAAAATACGTATCTGGAATCTTCTGTGTCCAGAGAGCAGAAAAATCTAGATATATACCTCCATATTTGAGAAGAATGGCCACTTTCATGATCCCTACAGCTAGTCTTGGTGTCATGACAGCCTTGTCGTATACTGATTCTGGGTATTCCCTATACACGTATATGAAGCGAGGGTCCTCCTGGAGCTTGACCCACCACTTGCCCGTCGGCTTCTCCACACCATGAATGTACACTTTGCTCAGTCCAGCCACGTAGATTGCACTCAGCATGCTCAGATAACCAGTGAACCTGATGTTGCAATCAACACAGACGTAATGGCCGATTTTAGGTACTGGGTTTTTCATACTGTACAAGTGTTTGATGTTAACTACACCGTATGACACAACCCTTGACAACATGGCGAATTTTGATTTTTCTTCCCATATGTCTTTAGGAAATATATTCCTTTCTACCCGAACACATATCTTATCCCCGACAACATCTTTGACATATCCTTCTTCTGAAACACAAGGTTTGATTCCGCCATGTTCGTGTACGCCGAGACTCAGCACCACCAGAAGTTCCTCGGGGGTGGTCGGCGGAACGAAGCCACCTTTCTTGCCTATGATAATTCCATCAGCATATTCAGTTGGACTTGTAGCTACTACCCCGGCAACAAGTGGACTCGTCCGGAGGTGTACAGGAAAGTCAATCCAAATGGAATCTTCTGGTATATAGATGCCCCCAAACTTGTCTAGTATATCCAGCACCAGGATGTATCTCTCTGCAGTTCCACTTCTGGGACACACTGAGTAGTTGAGGGGCCGTGGAAGTAGGTGATCTATCTCCTGTAAGGTGTCATTAAACCACTGATAGTACCCTTCTTGATCCACCACGGGAAGCTCTTCATAATGGAAAAACACTTTGTCCGGTCTCACTGCGCGATCGGCGCTCCTGATCGCCAGGTAGTGACGGTACTCGAAATGGCGTCTGCCACACCAAACATAATGCAAGATGGCGGGTACCAAGTCGGGCATAAGGTCGTGGTCAAAGTCTAGCTCGTCATCCTTCTTGGGTGGTTCGGGGGGTTTGAAGGCCATGGGCTTTCGTGGATGGACATCTTTGGCCAGAAACAATGGCTGATCTTGATTGAGTGTGTTCATACCCATAACGTTGAAATAGATGAGACAAAATGCACCAAGCAGTGACCCTACCCATAATGCACATCGCCGTCTCTTACTGCGTGACCTGGCTCTGTAGAACACTCGACACAGACGCATCTTCGCTGTTGCTGCAAAATATTAAAGAGATATATTAACTCTTGTGTAACATATCAGTGACATGTACCTGTGTAGACAACTCAAGTTGCAGGGAGACATCTATGTATACAGACAAGTTGTAGGGGCAAAGGCATAGAAGATTAGTGGAGACATTGGCACACATCTATCTGGAGGTACGTGTAACAACATACGTATATAGGTATCTCCCTAGGGAGACAGAGGCACATGTTTTCACATAAAATGTAGAGGCATGGATAAATGTATAAAAAGATATCTGGAGGCAGAGGTAGGTGTATTCAGTTAAATGTTAAATGATAGTAAATTTATCAACTTGCTCCAAGAAATGCTTGATGATGATGATGTATAGATGTGCCAGTTAATGAGTGGTTATATTTTCTACGCTGCAACCAGAAATATTATAGCTGTTAAAATGAGGGCATATACAGATGATGACTATGGGTAGAGTTAATGGCTCTACCTTGAGGTTTGGGTACGTAATGGGAAAATGTCCATTTCCCGGAAACAGCAAGGTGCCCTCGTACATATACCTATACACATACCTGGAGCAGTATAGCCCCTGGGATAAACACGTTAACATTGAACTCGTTGACTCACATGTATTCATAGGTAACACAATACAGTCTGTCCAGGTGTGTCTGTGAGCAATCAACGGTTGAAGCAACTATCGGTTTACTGGAGGCCCGGTCAGATTCTTCCAGTATGGTGAACACTTTGTGTAAGAACCTTTTGATGATTTGATAGGAGCCGTAAGTAGAAAGTACTTTCTATTCTACAGAAATAGATGGCATATTATAGGCAGATTATGTCTTCTCAAACCGCGTCTTCCATTGGTGACTGGTCGGGCTCGAGTGTGCAATGGCACTGGCTATTCACGATAGAGGTGATTGTTTTCACCGACATATTGCCATTTACCTGCACAATGTATACGGAGTAGCGAGGACAGTATGACCACGAGCTGAGAGACGTCCAGCTCGGGATATGAAACAAACATCAAAATGGTCAAGCCAGAAGAGATCACCAATATAACTACCTACCTGTATACACCACCTAGACATACAGATGTAACTACCTCCCTGTATACACCACCTAGACATACAGATGTAACTACCTCCCTGTATACACCACCTAGAGATACAGGTGTAACTACCTCCTGTATACACCACCTAGAGATACAGGTGTAACTACCTCCCTGTATACACCACCTGGAGAAACAGGTGTAACTACCTGCCTGTATACACCACATAGAGAAACAGGTGTAACTACCTCCCTGTATACACCACCTAGAAATACAGGTGTAACTACCTCCCTGTATACACAACCTAGACATACAGGTGTAACTACCTCCCTGTATACACCACCTAGAGATACAGGTGTATACTATCTCCCTGTATACACCACCTAGAGATACAGGTGTAACTACTTCCCTGTATACACCACCTAGAGAAACAGGTGTAACTACCTCCCTGTATACACCACCTAGAGAAACAGGTGTAACTACATACACCACCTAGATGTACAGGTGTAACTATCTCCCTGTATACCACCTAGACCTACAGGTGTAACTACCTCCTGTATACACCACCTAGAGATACAGGTGTAAGTACCTCCCTGTATACACCACCTAGATATACAGGTGTAACTACCTCCCTGTGTACACCACCTAGAGATACAGGTGTAACTACCTCCCTGTATACACCACCTAGAGATACAGGTGTAACTACCTCCCTGTATACACCACCTAGAGAAACAGGTGTAACTACCTCCCTGTATACACCACCTAGAGATACAGGTGTAACTACCTCCCTGTATACACCACCTAGAGAAACAGGTGTAACTACCTCCCTGTATACACCACCTAGAGATACAGGTGTAACTATCTCCCTGTATACACCACCTAGAGATACAGGTGTAACTACCTCCCTGTATACACCACCTAGAGAAACAGGTGTAACTACCTCCCTGTATACACCACCTAGAGAAACAGGTGTAACTACCTCCCTGTATACACCACCTAGAGATACAGGTGTAACTATCTCCCTGTATACACCACCTAGAGATACAGGTGTAACTACTTCCGTGTATACACCACCTAGAGAAACAGGTGTAACTACCTCCCTGTATACACCACCTAGAGATACAGGTGTAACTACCTCCCTGTTCACACCACCTAGAGACACAGGTGTAACTACCTCCCTGTATACACCACCTAGAGATACAGGTGTAACTACTTCCGTGTATACACCACCTAGAGAAACAGGTGTAACTACCTCCCTGTATACACCACCTAGAGATACCGTTGTAACTACCTCCCTGTTCACACCACCTAGAGACACAGGTGTAACTACCTCCCTGTATACACAACCTAGAGAAACAGGTATAACTGCCTCCCTGTATACACCACCTAGAGAAACAGGTGTAACTACCTCCCTGTATACACCACCTAGAGATACAGTTGTAACTACCTCCCTGTTTACACCACCTAGAGACACAGGTGTAACTACCTCCCTGTATACACCACCTAGAGAAACAGGTGTAACTGCCTCCCTGTATACACCACCTAGAGAAACAGGTGCAACAACCTCCCTGTATACACCACCTAGACATACAGATGTAACTACCTCCCTGTTTACACAACCTAGAGATAAAGGTGTAACTACCTCCCTGGTAAACACCACCTAGAGATACAGGTGTAACTACCTCCCTGTATACACCACCTAGAGATACAGGTGCAACTACCTCCCTGTATGCACCACCTAGAGATACAGGTGTAACTATCTCCCTGTATAAACCACCTAGAGATACAGGTGTAACTACCTCCCTGTATACACCACCTAGAGATACAGGTGTAACTACCTCCCTGTATACACCACCTAGAGATACAGGTGTATACTATCTCCCTGTATACACCACCTAGAGAAACAGGTGTAACTACCTCCCTGAATACACCACCTAGAGATACCGTTGTAACTACCTCCCTGTTCACACCACCTAGAGACACAGGTGTAACTACCTCCTGTGTACCACACCCTAGAGAAACAGGTATAACTGCCTCCCCCTGTATACACCACCTAGAGAAACAGGTGCAACAACCTCCCTGTATACACCACCTAGACATACAGATGTAACTACCTCCCTGTATACACCACCTAGAGATAAAGGTGTAACTACCTCCCTGTATACACCACCTAGAGATACAGGTGTAACTACCTCCCTGTATACACAACCTAGAGAGATACAGGTGTGTATACACCTCCTGTAGAGAGCAGGTATACACCACCAAGAGAAACAGGTGTAACTATCTCCCTGTATACACCACCTAGAGATACAGGTGTAACTACATCCCTGTATACACCACCTAGAGAAACAGGTGTAACTACCTCCCTGTATACACCACCAAGAGATACAGGTGTAACTACCTCCCTGTATACACCACCTAGAGATACAGGTGTAACTATCTCCCTGTATGCACTTGTAACTACTTATAAACCACCTAGAGATACAGGTGTAACTACCTCCCTGTATACACCACCTAGAGATACAGGTATAACTACTTCCCTGTATACACCACCTAGAGATAAAGGTGTAACTACCTCCCTGTATACACCACCTAGAGATACAGGTGCAACTACCTCCCTGTATGCACCACCTAGAGATACAGGTGTAACTATCTCCCTGTATAAACCACCTAGAGATACAGGTGTAACTACCTCCCTGTATACACCACCTAGAGATACAGGTGTAACTACCTCCCTGTATACACCACCTAGAGATACAGGTGTAACTATCTCCCTGTATACACCACCTAGAGATACAGGTGTAACTACCTCCCTGTATACACCACCTAGAGATACAGGTGTAACTACCTCCCTGTATAAACCACCTAGAGATACAGGTGTAACTACTTCCGTGTATAAACCACCTAGAGATACAGGTGCAACTACTTCCCTGTATACACCACCTAGAGATATAGGTGTAACTACCTCCCTGTATACACCACCTAGAGATACAGGTATAACTACTTCCCTGTATACACCACCTAGAGATACAGGTGTAACTACCTCCCTGTATACACCACCTAGAGATACAGGTGCAACTACCTCCCTGTATGCACCACCTAGAGATACAGGTGTAACTACCTCCCTGTATACACCACCTAGAGATACAGGTGCAACTGCTTCCCTGTATACACCACCTAGAGAAACAGATGTAACTACCTCCCTGTATACACCACCTAGAGATACAGGTGTACTACCTCCCTGTATACACCACCTAGAGAAACAGGTGTAACTACCTCCCTGTATACACCACCTAGAGATATAGGTGTAACTACCTCCCTGTATACACCACCTAGAGATATAGGTCTAACTACCTCCCTGTATACACCACCTAGAGATATAGGTGTAACTACCTCCCTGTATACACAACCTAGAGATACAGGTGTAACTAAGTTCCTTGTCTGTAGTTCTGTGATGAACAATTCATATGGCCAGAGGGCGTTACATGTCTATCTTATATAGACCGAAGCATATATCAAGAAGTGAAATCCGTGTAACACACAGAGGACCAACTGCAATCACCATGGAAACGCCTGTAGCCTCGACACGCTAATGTCGTGAAAGCAATCTACTTCAGATAGTGACCACTCGTAGCAAACAAGTTACTTGTATGTGATAGGAATAAGAATGTATCTGGAATGCGATCATATAAACAATGCACCGTGTTTGCGATTATATAAATAATGTTACATGTGCGCGATCGTAGTAACATGACCTAGGCCAGTGTCAGTACTTACAAATAGTTTCTCCCTCCTGCGTTGTGCCTCGGACCCAAGTGTCGGTTTGACCCTACCCGAGTCTACCCCAGCTGTCTTCAGCATTCCCAATAACAAAGCTACGTCCGTCAATGTCACTGATCCACACAATGCATCACTCAAGAAGCCTGACTTTGTAAAGACGAGTGACAAACTGCTTGGCTGACAAGCCCCTATCTC